CAGGGACGTTCTCTGGCCAGTGCTGTGCAGGGGTTCAGGCTGGATGACCGGAGAGGTCCCTTCTAGCCTTATGATCTATGAGTGTATGCCGCCTTGTTTGTACGGCGCCTGGCACGATGGTGTCCTGGTCTGGCTGTGGCCTCCATGTGCTGTTTTATACAGATAACAAGAACAGTTATCTGTGATCTGTTGAGTTATCCTTGCAGAAGTGGTGTAACAGAGAGGCGAGCCAAGCTCGGGAGTTATAAAATCCTCAACTCAATCGATGGTCCAGTGGTCAGGTCATTAGCCTAGAACTTGAGACCTGGTTCAACTGCCTCTGTGATTTAGGGCAAGACACTTAGCCTCTGTGTGCCTTATTCCCCATCTGTCCAGTGGGGATTAAAGCCCTGCCCTGCCTGACAGGGGTGCTGTGAGGAGGAATACATTAAAGATGGTCAAATGCTTGGAGATCTCTTGAAAAGCGCTCTATAAGAGCTAGGTATTTATTTCTATTGCAGGAATACCTAGGAGCTGCCATCATGGACCCAGGGTGCTAGGCGCTGTACAAACACAGTCCCTGCCCCAATGATTTTATGCTCTTTAAAGTTCCAGTGAATGGTTTTTGTCCGAAGCTACATTTTCTTCTACTCTGTGCAGCCCTCGTACTGTCACCAGAATTGATCAGATTCTGTAGCTGCCAAATTTCAGCCTTTTAAGGTAGATGAATGATCTTCCCGCAATAAATGGTTTTTTGTCGTCGGGCCAGCTCTGTAAACGGCTGCCTTATTTTCCTGATTATGATTCAACCATCTGTAGAGAAGGGAGGGGAAAATGGGGTTTGACGCTAAGTTGTTTAGTGCTAAAAAGGCAAAACTGCGGCAAACACTCGGGAATCCTCTGACCGCAGGGGCTTAGGGAGAGACCAAGTGCGAGCACTGGTTAACGCTACCCAGTGTAATTCCACTGCTTCGGCATTTTCCGTTGAAAAATGAAATTCTCAGTGATGCTAGCATTTCGTCTTTCCTGAAACACCTATGGTCAGAGGGTGACCAAGGGATTTGCAGCTAATGGATTAGCGCACAGCTCCCCTGTGCGGTAGGTATCTCTATTTACTGGTAGGTAAACTGAGGCACAGAGCAGTGACGTGACTTGTCCAAGGCCACGTAAGGAGCCAGGAATCCACGCTGTGTATCCTGAGTCCCAGTTGCCTGCTCGACTCACTTGCTACACTCCCCCTCCCAGAGTTAAGACTAGAACCCAGGTGTCTTGACTCCTGTTCCTCTACTCTGACCACTAGACCTCACTCCGCTTCCCAAGCTGGGGCTAGAACCCAGGAGTCTGATCCTCACTCCTATGCTGTAAGCCCCAGCAAACAGTCACCTCGCACAAAAAAACTGCAGCAGGGATTGTCCTGGTTCTGACACGTCACCCTCTACCCATCCTTCCCCTTCCCCTTTCTCCTACCAGCTCCATAACTTTCTCCTCCTGCACGCTCTTGATCCCACTGAGCTCCCGCAGCCAGATGTCGCTGAGCAGCCCAGACTAGGGTGACCCTTTTCCAAACCGGGATGGTATTTTTGTCCTTTTTTTTTATAAGCAGCAGGAGATGCTGTTGTCCCGGTGGCAGCGCTGTGTGAATGGTAAGTATGGTGAGGTGCAAAGCCTTGAAATAAGTGGCCCACAGGATGCGGTGACCAAGGGCCCCGATGCTGCAAAGGCATCCGTGTGGACAGATCCATCCACAGTGGGTCAGCAGAAAGAAGGGTTCACCTGCCTGGGATCCCTTTGGCAGATCGTAGCTTAAGTTCAGCATTGTACACAATCCACTCCCAAATGTATGCATCTCTGCTCCAACATGGAATCCGAAGTCTCTAGCCTGATCTTCAGAAAGGGCCAAGCCCCTGAGCCGCTCTGAAAATCCTGGCCATTGAAGGTGCTTCGGTTGGGTCTCCAGAAATGGAAACACCCCAAATCACTAGCCACTTAAAAATCAATCTTGGGTGCTGCCAGCTGTTACGAATTACACCTGGTAGGACACGCACACAACTGCTACGAATTACACCTGGTAGGACACGCACACCAATGCTGCGAATTATACCTGATAGGACACGCACAGTTTGAATCTAGGCTGAGGCACATAAACAAAGTCCACAATGGCAGAGTTCCCAAAAGACACTAAGCTTATTACGCTCGAGCGTAGTGCCCCCCTGCTAGCCAGGAGGGGACCCTGAATACAGATTATACAAAGGTTATATACTTTTTAGCAAAGCATGTTGCCCTCGTGCATCGGAAACCTTAGCCAATATATAAACCCTTGTCTTATCTACCACCTATCCCTGCTTGGTGCATTTCTCGTGCTATACCAGTATGTTAATTTCACAGCATGGTCCTAAAGCCATGCATCAGTAACCTTTATTATTAGGATGGGAGGCCTCACATCAAGGCAAAGAGACAGGGAGTTAGAGACTGACAAAAACCAGATACTGGGAGTCAAGGCAGGCTGGAGACAAGGAGGAGGATTTTTACAGGGATTCAGTATCTAAGGATCACTCCTCCTGGTGTATGATGTGCTGGCATTTAAACAATGGTGGGCCCCAAACCAAAATGTAGTCACATGCGCTAACTTTTCCTTAACACAGCCCAATGGACTAGAGAGTCCACTCTCAGAGCCCTGGGTATTGGCAGAGAGCATGTGGCATGTGGACAGGAAATCTGCAGCTCCTTTTGCCTTCTTCCATCCACAGCCAACGTCCTGCCTTGGAAAGGGTCGTGCATTGTTGGCTCATTAGTTCAAGGCTTTGCACGGGTAGCTCTGATTTGTCAGTGGCTGTTGTCCTCCCCTAGCTGTTATAAACATTCGGTGCAGGGAGTGAAAAGCTCGTGGACCTGGTGAAATCCTGAAGGGAAACAAGTGCAATCAACAGCCGTGCCACTGTCTCTTGCAGTTCAGGACTGGTGAGCGCCAGCAGCTGCTGCTGAAGTCAATGGAAATGAGGGCGGATTCGGCTCCTCTGAAAGTCAGGCCTTCCGATTCTCGCCACTGGATACTTAAATTGCCGTTGTTACCCACTGGCTGGTGTGTGTCACTGTCCCTCCCTACGCCTGACCCACAGAGGATATGGGTCTGTCACAGCTCTTAGAACCGAGCTTTTTAGCTCAAGCGGCAGAATTCGTGTGGCGAGCTCCGGAGACCCCCAGTTCAGACCCTGATGTTGGCCAGGATGGCCACCGCTCACCAAAAAAAAAAAAAGGGGGGAAAGAAATCTTCTTTGGTGGCCCGGGGTGTAGTGGCTTAGATGCCATGCTTAGATCCCATCGGCTTCAAGGGGCACGGGTGAACTGGGAGCGCCGGCAAAAAGGGGTAGGCACCACAGAAGCCCTCAAAATAGAATTTAAATGGCACCTAGGCCTTGTGCTCGCTCCTTTATTGATTCACTTCCTGCGGGCAACGTGGCAGGAACAGATCCTGGGGAATAATCTGAATGAGGACGGAGAGGGGTGGCTTGGCGGTCCAGAGCTAGGAGGGTGCTCCGTGCCGTGGGAATGATGGGGAAGAAGTCGCAGAGGTAGTTGTAGGAGAAGTGGGACATTGTGGCTGGAGTGGAGGGGGCAGGAGATGATGCCCCCCTTCGAGGATTTAAGGAGTTGGATGGGAGTCTCTCCCTTGGGGAATTTGCTTTGCAAAATGACACCGTGGAGAGCCATATCCTCAGGTGGTGTAAATCGGCATGGGTCCATTGACTTCAGTGGAGCTAGTTATACCAAGTGAGTATTTGGGTTACACCAGTTGAGTATCTGGCCCATGAAACATCTATCCGATGGTCTCCGTACAATCCCGTCTGTCTGTTTGTCAGTCTCCGTACACTCCCATCTGTCTGTCTAGCTCCTTCAGCCATGTCTGGGTTCTACCAGTTAAAAACAGGCGGTGGGGTCTTTTCCACCCCTCTCTCTCCAACACCCACAGCCCCATTTGAATTTTAGGGCCTTATAAATAATAATCTGCCCATTGGAGGAGCTCGCCAGCTCTAGATCCCACCTGCAGCCTTTAGGCCTTCCTGTTTTGCCGGGGGGTTGCATCGTACCAATTGGCCCTGTTCCATGCACCGGGGGTTTAGCAAGGCATGGTTAATGCAATGGTGAAAACAGGCCCTTGCGCGAAGCCAAGGAAATTAGCAACAACAAAACCTGGGTGGGTCGGTTTAAATCCGTGGGTGGAGGCAGGTTTGGGGTTGGCTGAGCTCCGGCTGCGTCATACAATCGTCAGATGGGCAAGATTGGTGCCCTCTGCTTCGTATCCTGAGCCTGATTCTCCTTGCATTTCCATCAGCATCCGTCCTTTGGTTTCCATGAATTACAGCTGGTTTGCAACAGAGTAGGGGCCCCATTGAAAGCCAATGAAAGGGCTCCCCTTGGCTTCAATAAGCTTTGGCTCAGGCCATGTATGAGATCAGAATCAGGCCTCAGTGGGAGGGGGGTACAGTGACAGGGCATTGTGGGCACTCAAGGGAAGAGCAAGGGTGCTGTAGGTCAAGATCGAAGTGTATGTTGGGAGCTCTGAGAAGGCAGTGGGATCTAGTAGGTAGAGCAGAGGGGGCTGGGAGCCAGAACTCCTGGCTTCTATCCCCAGTGCTAGGTGCTGGTGGGGTCTAGTGGGTAGAACCGAGGGGGCTGGGAGCCAGAACTCCTGGCTTCTATCCCAAGTGCTGGGTGCAGGTGGGGTCTAGTGGGTGGAGCAGAGGGGGCTGGGATTCGGGAGGTTTAATTGTGATCTCTTTGGTTCTGTCCTTCCACCTCCCTTTGCTCCCAGGACAAGCTGGTGGGGCGGGACCTGTGCGGGTGGGGGGGCTGATCTTGGCCTGGATAACATAACCAAGCATTTTGCCCTCAGGTTCCCCGGGGGTCTCTCTTGTACTTGGCTCCTTTGTGACTAGTTGGGCTGACACTGGGGGCGGTGGAGGGAAAGCACCTGCTGCCCCCTCCCATCCCACGCTGCTCAGCACCCTCACTCTGTCTTCCAGGTTAGAGAAGGAGCTGGAGATTCTGGAGAACGGGGACTCGGCGCCTTCCACCAAGGAGAACCTGGGGAAGGAGGCAGCAGTGACAGCAAAGGAGGAGAAAGCAGCAAACGCACAGAAGGTCAGGAGAGGGGGAGAAGGGGAAGCTTAGCCCTGGCTGGCCTCAAAACCTTCCCTTAAAGAGGTCAATGCCATTAACCCCCTAGAGTACCGTGGAGCCCAGAATCGCAACGGTATCTCCGTGCACAGGTTGTCATGGAGGGGCTGGGGGGGGTTAAAGGGATGCCCCGCGAAAGCATCTCTGGCTATTCCCTTGAGACAGCTGTGAAGGGGCAGCAGGGACAGAACCAGCTGCCTCCGTTTACCCTCAGCCACCCTTGCCCAGGGCAGGGCTTCCGTTGCTGTAATGCACCAAATGGCCTCGAGTCCAGGCCTTCGGGGAAACGGGCCTGGAATCGGTTCCTCTGCCGTCGCATGGCGCGTGCGTGTAACGGCGGCTGCCCGAGCTGCTGTCAGAAATGTCTGCACCCCGCACACGAGGCCCCGGTTTCCCGGCTGCCTGCGGGTAAAATGCCGCCAGATCGGAGGGGCAGCGTTGGGTATCCACTCGGCGCAGGGCTTGGGGGCGGTTCCGCTCAGGAGTATTTTGCACGTGCACCGGTGCAAGCCGTGACACAGAAGCGAGGCAGGGGTGACTCGGGCATAGAGTATACCGTGCTGCGTGGCTTTATTAACAGGTGCGATCGAAACCGGCGACAACCAGCGCCTCTTCCCCTGAAAATCAAGCCCCTGTCGTCCCCAGGGCAGAGCTTTGCCCCCAGCCCACATCCGCCCCCCGAGAAAATCCTCACGCCTCAGCCACTGCGCTCGGGCCAGCCCCACAGCCCTGCCCGGTGCGCCCCCGCCTTGCCATCGCAGAGCTCAGCAAGGCCAAGGCACGCTGGCGAGCTGCCCGTTTGTGCGGTTAATCAGCCGCGTGGCCCAGCCTGGCAGGGGAGCAGACGGTTGTTTGCCGGGGGGGGGGGGGGGGGGGGGAGCTGTCGTCAGCGGCTGTGCTCAGCCATGCCCCCTGCTGGATCAGAGTGGACACTCAGGGCCCTCCGCACGCCCAGCCCGGTTTATGGGGATGTGGGGCTTCGCGGGGAATTAAGAGGCCGATGATTGGCTGGTGTTTGTCACTGGGTGGAAATAATTGTGCTGATGAAGACCGAGAATGCTGGAAAGAAGCTGGAATCCGCATGACTGAGTTCTGCAAACCCATTCACCGCCTGGCTGGGAAGCTCGACCCCCAGGTGAAGGACAAGGGCTCAATCTAAAGGGGACTCGCTGCCGTTAGCCCTAAAGGGTCTATGACACAGCAGCTGAATGGCCCTGATCCCATCCGTGCACGTACACGCTGGCCAGTTCCGCACCGTATTCCCCATTCGAAGTGCGCCGATTCTGGGCGCTCCATTGTCTCTGCTTGCACAGACCCCACGTCCTGTGATTTGAGCTAACAAGTCTCAAGCCACATGGTTAGAATGAGACGTCCCTGATGCACCGCGCTGGCAGGCAAGCCTGCAGCAGCGAGCAGGGGAGCCATTTGCTGTTCTCCTGGTTGGATTACCTAATGCATGCTTGGCTGTGTGGAGGCCTCGGGTGCCGTAGGAGGGCTCGGAGTTAGCAGTGCTTCCTGTAACCTCTCCGTGTTCTGTCTTGCAGACTCCGCTGGGCACAGCTAAAGGTGGGTTCTCTCCTGTCTCATCCATGGGATCTAACTTTCCTTCCTTCGTGGGCACAACCCATGCTCCCCTCATTTAAGAGCGAGCTCCCCAGCGCTCCTGCTCGGAGTGGTGGGCTTTCTAGGCAGGAGAAGCAGAACGAGATGCCTTCTGCTGGGCCGTGCCCTGGCCTCGCAGTCCGTGGTCACGCTGCACGGCTGGGCAGCACTCGGACAGGCTTGGCCGCTGGATGCCAGTCAGTGCTGAGCTCCCAGTCGCCTCGCTCTGCAGGGAGTGGATCCCCAGGAGCAGGAATGGCTCCTTCAGTCAGTAGATTCCCCTTTGCTTGGGTGCCACCCAGCGCCATCCCAGTCCTGGAAATGCCCCCAGCCACAGCTCAGGGTGGGTTGCTGGAGTCACCCACCTTACCAACCCCTTCCTTTCCTCCAGCATCCCCTTTCAAAACCCCCTTCTCCTCTCTCCATTAAACCCCGGGGCAACAGCTATCAGCCTTCTCCGACTGCGCCCGCTTTCTGCAGGGTGAACTAGGAGCTAACCTAAGGCACGAAAGCCCATTTGCAGGGGGCAGCAGCCTCCCAGGTGGTGGGAAGGGCCTCCCCCCAGCTCCCCGGGGCGCGGGGTCGAAGAGGCGAGCTGGATGATCGTTACTGTTGCAAGCCCGGGACATGCAGCGGTCTCTATGATCACCCATGGAACAGTCCTGGCACATCCCCTGTTGTGGTGGACGTCATGGGGCATGGCTGGGAGCAGGGCATGGTGGGAACAGGGCGTGTCCCCTGCTATGGCAGGTCACCTGGACAGAGAAATTTCCAGCTTGGGAAGTCAATTGCTTTTCCTCTTCTTCCCCAAAGCGGAGCAGAAGATCTCCAACAGCCCCTTGAAGTTGGTGGAGGCCACTGACATGATGAAGGCAGGTATGTACGTCGCCTCTTGTCCCAGGGAGGATGCTCGAGTCCTGCTGCCCCATGGTACTTAGCGCTGGGTGGGGGCAGGATGCCGTGGGGCTTCACCAGGGTTGTTTTGTCTTGGAAGAGAAAATCGCAGCAAAGCTGTAGTTCTCAGACCAGGGCTGCAGGTGTCTATCAGCGTGAGTTGGGGACAGGGGTGCACGGCACAGGGGTCAGGAATAGGGTTCGGGTTAGGAATGTGCAGGGTGGGGTCGGAGTTTTCAGCTAGGTGGGTTGAGGTTATTGGTATCCATCACTCGGGGTTAGACTCGCAGATATCCATTAATGTGATGGTCCTTCAATACAAGTCGTACGCTCTGCACGTGGAACCGTTCCCCGGGGGAACGGCATGCGAAGCCCCCTGATACCAGACACATCCTATTCGGGGCAGGCTGAAATCCACCTTGTACCAGGAAGTCAGCACTTGGATCTTCCCAGCGTCTGGCGCATCCAAAGGGCTGTGCCCCAGGGAAACGCGAGTCACACGCGTCTAACATGAGACACGGGGTCGCCCGATGCAGTGCTAAGTACACAGTCCCGTGCGTTAAGGATGTGCTGGGGAGTTTCCCTCTTAGCCCGTTTCCTGGCTCTGTATCTGGTGTGGCACTTGAGTTGCCGGGGAGAGTTACCTTCCACGCATAACCTCGCCAATCAAAGCCAGTTGGCTGGCTGAATCTTTATTTGATTCAGTCCCTCTTGTTGTGGCTTCTTGAGTTTTATACAAGATCTAGTGTAGCTGCCAATCCAGCCTCTTGTATCCAATCCTGCAGGGACCAATCTGTGGGGACACATACACACACCCTGTGCATTGCACCTTTGGCCTCTGCCTTTGCATGGCTATAGACTAGGTGATCATGGGCCCCGGCCCATGACGTGCTGGCTCCCTTTGAGGTCAACAGAGGCTGAGGGGACTCCGCCCCAGGGGTGTCATTTCAGAAAAATTCAGGGGAGTCAAGGGGCAAAACTGTATCGGCATATAGGCCATTATCTGTGATTGTCATTCTGGGTGGGGGAGTGGAAGACAGAATGGAGCCTATAGACCTATGAAAAGTTGGGGGAGGGGCAAACCCAGGTCTCGCAAATTGCCCCCCCTTGCCCAATAGCACATGATGCCCCTGCTCAGCACCTGGCAGGACTGTGGCCCTATTAGGGCATTTCAGTCTCTAAGGACTGTGCTGCTCAAAACCCAAAGCAGGCTCTGCCTCAGTTTCCCCTCCCTCCAGGCCCACAGACCTTTATGAGGGCTTTGCCTCGCTGGGGCCCCTTATCCAGCAGGCTCCTGCTCCCTGCAGGGATCTCTTTGAGGCCTCCTGCCTGGGAGCTCTGGAGAGCTGTCACCTGCCCTTGTCCCAGCCGACTCCCTCCCCAGGCCCTCTCCCCAGTAGCTCATCCAGCCCTCCAGTTCCTTTGGGCCTATCCTAGGACTCCCCCCCCCCCCCCTCAGGCTGCCACTTAGATCTTCCAGCAGACCTAGTTCTAAGTCCCCTGCTCCCATCACCTGATCCCCTGCCCCCGTTCCTGTCACCTGGGGATGGTGGTTACACCTGGCAGAGGCCAGGCTGAGCCCCAACCTTTTAAAGGGCCAGCTCACCCTGTCCCACTCTCCTAAAGCAGACCCCACACTTTTCCAAGCTGTGCTGTATCGTCACGTAGCAAAGGTGAGCTCCGCAGGTGGGTCTGACTGAACCAAACCAAGCCCAAAGGAACAGCGGGAGCAGGTTCTGTGGCCCAGACCCTCAAAGGTGAGGAGGTGCCGAACTTCCATTGAAATCAATGGGAGTTTGGTGTCACGAGACCTATGCGGATCTGAGCCGGTAGTCTCGTTCTGTTCTCTAGTGGAGGTGGATCTGTGATGTCTCCCGGGAAGATGGTTGACTCAGGAAATGAAGACACAGTTCCACACACAGAAAATTCAAAGTGTTGGGGCTGTTTCCATTTTGCAGGGCTTGAAAGGGATCCATTTGCCCCCAAAATTTTTGGTGCTTTTTCACCAAAATTCAGAACGGTCACCCGAATATGTTGTTTATCAAAAAAACTTGACCTTGGTGGCTTTTCTTTTTTAACTGAAAACCAGGTTTTGGGTAAATGAAAAACGTCAATCATGATCAGGTTTAAAAATATCCATTAAAAACACCCCCGGAGAATTTTGTGCAAGACAGAGAGTTTTTATTTTTATTTTTATTTTTTTTTTTCAAAAATTTCAGTTTAAAAAAAATGCCATTTTTCAATTTAAAAAAATGGAGGGGCAAAAACTGTCAGCCACCCTATGAGAGAGGAACGGGCTTTCCCAGCCCTCCTGTTGCCTTGCAGTGCATGTGTGTACTAGAGATGCAGCAAATGATGCTGCTCACCGGGTTCTCTTTACCAGTAATTAGCGACTGGCTTAAATCGGAAACCCTTCAGCCTTTGGGAACGCTGGCGCTGGATAGAGCTGGGTGACATTTTTCATGTGAATAGTTTTGCTCCTCCCCTCCCCCCCAAAAAATTGGAAATGTCAAAATGCTTCCAGTTTTTGTTTCAGAGAGATGTTTCCTTTCAGAATTTACCTAAATGTATTTTTAAGAAAATTACAAACATTTCCAAAAACCCCAAAAGCAAAACAAAAAAACTTCGTTTGGGGTCTATCCAAACTGGTTTGTTCCATCTGAAATGAAATGGGTTTTTTGTTTTTCTGTTGCCTCAAGAAAAACTGAACTTTTTTCATTTTGGTTCAATCCGAAGCAATTGTTAAATCAAGCTTGGCTGGTTTTTCAGAAAGCTCCACTCTAGGAATTGTTTGGGGGCAGGTCTTGGGCCTGGTCAGACTACATAATCACAATGCTCCCTGCTGGCCTTGCAATCTAGGAACAATTATTTGGGGAGATTACTCAGTTCAGCCACCAAACTGAAAAATCAGTTATTTGCCCAGTCCTAACTGTGTATCCAGACTTTGAGCCCATCTCTAATAACTATGAGAAGTCCTACCCACAGTTCCTTCCCTGCAGGATTGGCTCAAGCTTTCAGTTGTATGTCTCTACCATATGGCAGTTACCCCCCCAGGGCACCAGGAAGGTGGAACTCAGAACTTCAGCGAGTTTGTATCTCCAAGAGGCAGGTGGACAGGCACCTGCCCATGTGATGGGCAAAGGACAGGCCACTCCAAGGCTCACGCTGTGCCATAGCTCCAAAACCATTGCTGTGAATTTCGATTCCCGACACTGACCAGACATAAAGACGGCATGGCTATTTCTCAACTGCCTCCAGTGGGGCCATTTCACACTGAGTGGGCACCGACCACATGTAACTACCGGGCCAACCCCAGCCCTGCTTTGCCAGAGCTGCGTGGCGAACGGTTGCGTAGATGAGCTACGCCTTGAGTCCTACAACACAGTAAGGTCGAGCTAATGCCAAGAACAATCCAAGCTACAGCCGCAGAACCTCGGCCTTCCGAAGTGGAGATACTCGTTAACTACACGCTTGTTACATACATGTAAACCCAATTAATGTCAAGTGCGATCCATACAGCTCAATTGGTTTCCAAGCCCCAGGCGGAAACGTTATTTATATAATCTTAGATGCTGTTTCTAGCCTTACCCTTTTACCCTCTTATTTTTTGAAATCATGCTGCAGCTGCACTCATTTGGGTTGCCTGTTGATAGAAACCACCTTACTTTCCCTTGGGTTGATTTCTTTCTTTCTTTGCCTCCCGCTCCTTGTGGCTTGCTGGCTCAGAGGGAAGGACACGTTGCCTCCTAGCATGGCTCGTCTAACCCCACAACACAGCACTGCAGCCTGGCTGCTTAGATAAAGCCGGGTGGCTAAACTAAAGGCCGCTTGCAAGCCAGCCCAGCTCAGCTAGGAGTGCTTGGCAGTACAGATCTCCGTAGGTACATGCAGCCATTCTGCTGGAGCTCTGGTGTTTGCAGGTGAAGTGCAGTGGGGCTTAGCAATGTTGCATGACAGTGGTGAGGCTGCGAGACTGCAGGGAAGCTACATTCCTGTGGCAAATGATTTGCTTTCGCCAGGTGAGTACGGATTAAGCCTCAGCTACATTCGAGTCCACAGCTCCGTCGAGGAGCTACCAAGCCAAGGGGACATAGCAGGCCTCCTGGTCCAGGTGTAATGTACTAGAGCGGGGTCCGAGGTGTTCCCAGCGACGGGGATCCAGCGGTCGAAGCGCCAGAGGAGATCAGACGAGCCCAAAGCCAGGAAGCGCTGCACAGATGCCAGCTGAGAATCTGTCCCCGGGCCTGATTCTCCACCACCCTGCTCCTTGCGTTGTCACGGGCCCCTGCACAAAGCAGGGGGGACATGCCCCCAGCCGCGGGAGTGGGGAATTCCAGCTGGGGGAGTGTTTTGCACCCACTTTGCACAGAGGGGAGCAATGCCACAGAGCACAGGACAGCGGGCAGGTGGGCTCATGGGGCTAGCTGTTCACTGGAGAAGCCGAGCCCGATGTGTCTTTGATTCATATCAGCTCAGTGGACTGACGAAAACAAATCCTAAATTTCTTCTGCCTCCTGCATCCAGCTGAGAGAATCCGAGAGCAGGTGCTTTCCTGCCGTTCTTACTACAATTGAATTTGAAAATTGGGGTTTTTTACTAAATGTGCAAAACTGGAGTGAGGGTCAGATCCCTGCTCAGAGTCCTCAGCGGGGCCTGATCCTGCTGACCAACTGCTCAGTGGAGAGGGGCAAGCTAGACCCATCCCTCAGCTCTCTGGACAGACAGGTGACAATGGAAGCCGTTCTCTGCCCACAACATCACATCAGCTACCAAGAGGGGAGCCCGAACAGCCCCAGAGGTAAGGGAGCTCACGGCAGCACTGGGAGGGCCGGGTGCTAAGGATGCTGGAAGGTAACGTACATCCTGCTGGGAAGGCAGGGCTTGGGACCTAGGGACTGCCTGCCATGCACTCCTTGCTGGAGCGCACAGTGCCGCCTCTCCCCACCCAGCAGCTCCGAGCTCTCCCAGTGGCACCCGCACCTCTCCATCTTGCACCCCCTTCCCCCTCCCCCACATGCTAGCTGCCTGCTTCTGAGCGCTGGAGCCTTGTAGCGGGGTGGGAGCCGGGGGCTGGTTTAACTCTCACTGTCCTGTTTGTGTCCCAGCCATGTACTCAGTGGAGATCACAGTGGAGAAGGACAGAGTAACTGGCGAGACCAAAGTCCTATCCAGCACCACCCTGCTCCCCAAGAATCATTGCCTGCAGGGGGTCAAGGTGTACGAGGATGAGATGAAAGGTACGGGCCCAAAGAGCATCCCTCCCTCCCCAGGCATCCTGGAGGCCAAGAGGGAGGTGAAGGGAGAAGGTGACTGTAGGCACTACCAGAGGAGCAGGGCCAGTGACCAGTCACTGCCGTCTACCGCTCTCCGGCTTTCCTAGGGACTGGCAGACGGGCCCCTGCCCTGGCTGGGGTGGATCATTGGCACCAACTACTCAGGGTTAGCAGCTAACAGCGACCACACCCTGAGTCCCCGCTCAATACCCAGCGCGATGTTGCTTGCACCGAACCAGGAGAACAGTAGTGTTCTAAGGAACAGCCAGCATGGATTTGTCCAGAACAAATCATGCCACACCAAGGTGGGTGCACAAGTGCTTGAAACCCTGTGCTCAAAGAGGCGTGCTCAATGGTTTGCTGTCCAACTGGGAGGGCGTCTCTAGGGGCCAGCTCTGGGTCTGGCACTAGGCAATATTTTCATTCATGCCTCGGGTAAGGGAGCGGAGGGCCTGCTGATGAAATATGCAGATGACACCAAGGTGGGAGGGGTTGCAAGCACTTTGGAGGCCAGGATTAGCATTTGAAATGACCTTGAGAAATAGGAGAGTTGCTCTGAATTCAACAGGATGAAATTCAGCAAAGACAAGTGCAAAGTGCTTCACTTTGGAAGGAAAAATCAAATGCACACCTACACAATGGGGAAGGCGACAGTATTACTGAAAGGGATCTAGGGGGCCTAGTGGATCACACGCTGAATATGAGTCAACGGTGTGATGCTGTTGTGAAAAAGGCGGTTATCGTTCTGGGGTGTGTTAACCAGAGTGTCGGATGTAGGACACGGGAGGTGATTGTCCTGCTCCCCTTGGCACTGGTGAGGCTTCATTTAGAATTCTGTGTCCAATTCTGGGCACCCCATTTTAGGAAAGCTGTGGACAAATTGGAGAGAGTCCAGAGGAGAGCAACAAAAATGATGAAAGGTTCAGAAAACCTGCCCTATGGGGAAAGGTTCATGAAACTGGGCACATTTAGTCTTGAGAAAAGACGACAGAGAGAGGATCTGATAACGGTCTTCAAATATGTAAAGGGCTGGTATACAGAGGGTGGTGATCAGTTCTTTTCCATGTCCCCTGAAGATAGGAGAAGAAGCAATGGGCTTAATCGTCAGCAAGGGAGATTTAGGTTTGGTATTAGGAAAAGCTTTCGAACTCTAAGGGGAGTTAAGCTCTGGACCAGGCTTCCAAGGGAGACTCAAATCACCGTTATTGGAGGTTTTAAGAACAGGTTGGAGGAACCCCTGTACAGCTTTACTTGGTCCTGCCTCAGCGCAGAGGGCCTGACTTGATGACCTCTCGAGGTCCCTTCCAGCCCTTCATTGCTCTGATTCTCTCTCTTGTTGGAGGATGTTCGATAAGCTCTTTCATGTCCCAGGGTGGCCCCAGGAAATGGAGGAAAGATGCACAGGGTGCATGACCTAGTCTAGAGTTGATGCATAGATGTGTGTGGGAGGTAACGTTGTTTAGGTCGAGGCTGTGTGGTGCCATGACTTGGATGCTGGACTCTGGGTCCAGTTCAGTCCCTGGCTCTGCTACTTAATTTGTGTGACCTTGAGCAAGTTGCTTTCCCTGCCCTGTGCCTCGGTTTCCCTAGTGTGTGAAACTGGGGGATAATAAGACCTGACTTCCTAAAACGCTTTGGGGTCTGTGTTACCTTGCACTCTCGTTAAGAGCCTTGATGACTGCAGCTATCTTTTGGCTTTTGTGTTGGGCCACCGCACCAGCTGACAGCCGCTTCCCGGGACCATGAGCGACGGCTGTGGGGAGCGGATAGCGAGGGGGGGTGGGGTGCTAACTATCTGAACTCAGTAGTGATTTGCTGCAACCTTCCCCTCACCCCTTCCCAAAGCAACAATCCGCACCTGCCCCAGCGTGGCAGAAGCTGCATGCGTTGCTGGACATGGCAGCTGAGGTGTGATGGGAGGGATCCAAATGAGTTCAGACTCTTTCGGTCCAGTGCAGCTGTGGCCTTGGTTGCCGCCCAGCGGGTGCAGGGAGGTGTTGGGGCTGCAACAAACGAAGGCACCTTTAAAGGTTGCTTCACCCCATGTAGCGTTCTGCAGATATTGGGGGGATCGCTTTGCAAACAAGGGGCAAATACAACCCCGTTTTCAGTGACCATCAGTCCCCGTGACTGGCTCTTATCGAGGGTGGGCTGCGACCTTTCCCGGTCCATGGGTAACCGACGCCGGCCCACAGCTACTCCACACATTGGGCTTGGATGTGTGTTCTGCTTAGATAGGTTTGTAACAGCGTGTCCACAGGGTGCCGACAGGAGCTCTGAGCTTGGGGCTCCCCTGGTATGTAGGCTGCCAAGTTTGCTCTGGTCAGGTGCTTTGGGTTTCTCTCCTGGCCTATCCCATGCTCTGTGTGGGGGCTGCAGTATTCCGCTGCCTCCCATTATTCAGGACAGCAGTTGGCTACCTAGAAAAAGATGCACCGAACTAACCACGTAATGAAAAGCAGAGCCACCTTCCCTAGGGATAACATGTCATCACCATCCTGGGGAAATCAAACCCAAATGCCTTCGTCTGGAGCATAAGAGCCACCTAGCGGCTGTGTATGCTAATCTCAGGGGTGGGGATTCTTTCTTACAGATCTCCCAGGTCGTCATCCCTGTACTGAGGATGATCTAGATTATGCCTGTGGATGTATCCTAGCTGACCAATTCTAGGACTGGTTTCCTATTTAAAAGGTTTTTTCCTTTGTGGGTACCCAGTGTGATCCATCCCAAGCACTGCTTTAGAAGTGATTGGTTCTCTTCGCCTGGCTGTAGATGGGGGTTTGCTGTGGATCGCCCAAGGAATAATTCCCTGGACAGTAGCAAGTGCTGATCTGGGAGTGTTGCTGGATGACAACCGCTGTTTCTGGTGATTGGGTCGAGGGTCCAGCAAACAGCGGAGTCTGGGGCGTGTCTGCCGCTTGGAAGAGCTCAAAAGCTGCCTGACCCAGAAGGGGAGTTCTGGGTGTGGGTCAGATCCTAAACCAAGATATATCCAGCTCCAGATGGGAGCGATAATGTGAGATTAGCTCCATAGATTCCTGCTGTCTGAATCCTAAACCCCCAGACCTGGCTTGGTTCCAAGCCTTAGTCTCACCCTATCCCAGATCCAGGTACCACCTCTCATCTCTAGACCAGCCTGACACATGCCCCTTGGCCTTCCTCTGAGTCCTCACTGTCTTCTCTGTCTCTCCCACAGTGGTGCACGCGGTCCACATGGAGGATGGAGCCATCGAGAACGGGGTCCACCCTCTCAGCTCCTCTGAGGTGGACGAGCTGATCCACAAGGCAGATGAGGCGAACCTGGGCGAGGTCTCCCAGAGGGACTCCAAGACCAAGGAGCGTGAAGAGGCCAAGAAGGGGGGTCCCGAGAGTAACCTGCCCAGCCAGAAGACCACGCCCCGGAAGGAGATCACTGGGGTGCAAGCCAAGCCAGTGGACAGCCCGAGAATCCTGGCCTCCGGTGAAGGGGCAGAGCCTAGCAAAGAGCAGCCGGTCACCATGATCTTCATGGGCTACCAGAACGTGGAGGACGAGAACGAGACCAAAAAGGTCCTGGGTCTGGGGGGCACCATCAAGGCTGAGCTGGTGGTGATTGATGATGCCGACACCAAGCCAGCAGCAGCCGGAGCGGCAGACTGCACGGGCAAGGACCACGCCCCACCCAACGGCAGCACCGTGGAGCCCGTGGCCGCCCTGCCGCAGAAGGAAGACAGCCAGGTCGGGGAGAAGCCAGGGGCCAACGACACGGATCCCAAGGGAGCCGATCAGGACCTAGACATGAAGAAACACCGTTGCAAATGCTGCACGGTGATGTGAAACGTCCGCCAGCTCCTTCTGACCTCCCCTCATTGTACAGCCAAAAAGGACTGCCCCCCACCTTCTGTTACCCTGTCCCTCTTAGTTCCCTAGGTTCCACAAACTCCAAGTGACACCGTATTTTATTTACTTACCAGACACAACTTCTTTTTCTTAAGAGACTGGGGAATCAAATGCAGTGTTTGTAAAGTGTATAATAGGCAGCACCATCTCCCGGCCGCGGCATCGCTCGTCTGACGTCCGCTTCCATGCAATATGCCAATGGCGCTGAATATTATATGTATTATACACGCTTATTTTTTCCCCCTTGCCTTTGTCTCTCCCCCCTGCTCCCCCGTGCCATGGTGGGGTCTCTCAGAGATCCTCAGCCCACTAGGGATGGCCATCATGGAACTCTCCCACCTGTAGGGCTCCCATTTTTTTTATTTTACTGATGGCTTTTCCCCTCGTTAAATGACACCCTCCGCTGTTATCCGAAGGATGCTGGAGCTAATCTCACTGATGTGGGGGGAGGGGCTCAGCAGAGGGTCATCGGACTAAGAAGCCTCCTTAGATGGTTCTTCAAAAACTGGCTGCTGTTAGGACTTTCTTCCCGGCCTTATGGAAGGGGAAGGAGGGAGACCACTCACGTCCCAGCTCTTTCTCCACACGCCCTGGCGTCAACGGGCCACGGTTTAGAAACACCCAGGCCACCTGCTCCAGCAAGACAGAAGCTCCTGTCCAGTGGCAGCTTGACTATCCCCCGCACCCCGGGTTCGTTTCGACGACGGGTCTCGGGAAACCCGAGCGGCACAGACCCAGCGCCCCAAACCACAGCTCCACAAGAAGTTTGAAGCAGAGGTTTCAGCCGGCACGTGAGCTGCTGGGCCGCACTTAAATTTGGCCTGATCTTGCTGCTTAGAGTTTTTAAGCACTGACCTGAGCCTTCAAACCAGCCGCAAGATGAACTGTTTCCACGGCAAAAGGAAAAGGACACTCCCTGGAGATGAGACCTCTGCAAGGTGCGTGTGACGTTCCAACACAGCTTGACCAAGGTCCGTGGAGGTGGTCTGTGAGATGGACCTGTTGTTTCAACACCTAAAGTTGACCGTTCCAGGTGCAACGTGCAGCTCCAGAAAAATGTAGCAGTGTGAAAAATAAACAGGTCCCTGCTGGATTTCCAGGCAGCAGAATCAGTCATTCCGGAGTCACTCCTTCTCTCAAGGAACTTCTCAGTCCAGCACTCACAGTGGTGACCACAAGCCTTAAGGTACTTTATTGACCCCGCTGGTTTGAATGCCGGAACCGGGGCCTATCAGCTCCCACACCCCTGTGATGTCATGTCGTCTGCTGGTTTCTACAGAAGAGCGGCTCCCTCATTTCTTAGCTGGCTTTTCTCTGCTGGAATGACAAGGCCGTGAAGGGGCGAGGTGGTTGGAAGGACGTTGACTGCGTCTCCCCTGGCATTAACTTTTCCCTTGTAGATGCCACGCCAGTAAGGACATCGGCCACTGAGCTGATGACCAGAGATGCTCCCAGTTGTGGACAGTGGATGAAATTGGAGGAGGTCGGCCCAAGTCGTGGCCAGCGGGAGAAGGGTCTGCTCGTCGGGAGTTCTGGAGGGTTGTTCTGAACATGCTTGTGGTCATTAACCTTTGGAGCCCTGGTTAGCCACAGGTAGGGCCCTGTCAGCACCTCCACCCACTCAGCACCGGCAGCCCCCTGGCATCAATGCTGTCACCAGGGCAGCCCTCCCACGCAACACGCTCGTGTGGACAAAGTCTGAGCCCTCCAGTCCCTTGGCTTGTCCTCACTCGAGCCAGTGAGCCAGGTGCCTTATTGCTGCTTGGGTGGGGGGATTATGATTTGCCTTTGGCATCACCTAGTGGCATTGATGGGTCCCCTCGAGCCAGTTGCTCGTTCAGCATATTTGGCCCTGGCAAAGCAAAAGGGTTTTCACTTTGTGGCCAAGGAGCCCAGCAAATGGCTTTGAAGGGGTGCATAGTTGGGCAGCTGCCACAATTGCTTGGAGACGCCCCTAAACCAGGCCCCAATCCTGCCATCCTTGATACCTGTGCAGGCCTGCTGACACTAACGGGGTTGTACCAGCTGCACCTGAAAGCAGAACCACCCCCACTCCCACGTAAAGAGATGGGGCTGGATTCTACTCTCGGCTACCCGCTGACTGCTGTGGGTCTGCCCCAGAGCTTGGGGACTCCTCTGGGGGTCACTCACAGAGGTTCCCCCCCTCAGAACATGTTTATTCTTTAACGCTGTTATGCTGAAGGAGGGTACCTGGTTTTTAAAGCAGCTAAGTGAGTGGCGATGCTTTGCTCGGCTCAGAGCAGGGGAAACTTTAGTTCTTTTGCTACTCCTGGTTCGAGTTTGTAGCTGGCCGCTGGGCCCCAGCCACCTCCAGGGAGCTTCCGGTTCTTCTCCAGGAAGAACCATTCTCGGGAACACCTCGCGGGAGCTCTTCAGAACAGATGCCTCCCTGATCCCTAATCGTTTTCCTTGCACCCACTCTCCCTGCAGCGCAGAGCTGTGGGCGTGGCAAGATCAGGCACTTGCTCCCCTGATCACGCCCGATGAATTGCAGGCCAGACCCCAGCTGGTGTAAATTGCCGGAGCGCCGTCAACTTCAGTGGAGCGACGCCAGCTCACTGACACCAGCTGAGGATCTACCCCAGGTTCTGCAGCAGAGCATGACCCGGGAGGCAGTTCTGCTCTGCGACAGCCAGATTGGCAAGGATGCTGCAGGGCCCCCAAAGGCAGCTTGTTGGCTGGCTGCCTTTGGGCCCGCATCCAAGTGGGCGGCCCTTTCCTGCAGAGTGGGTTGCATAGGGGAGGCAATGGGAGTTCGGGATAAACCCCATCCAGCAGAACAAATCAAGCAATGGGCCACGACCCAGTGGTGCCAGTTGAATGCAGGCTCGGAGCGAGTGCTGAGACCACATGGATTGTGTCCTAGGGCGACTGCATGCGGGTCTCGGGTCTCCTTTGCTGCGACAGGGGCTGAAATAGGACATGCTGTAGGGTTGGTGGTCGGTCTAGAGATTGGAGCTTGTGTAGCGCTCGTTGCACAAGGAGAAGCTAACGCTCGCTTCGTGTTTGGTTCGGGACGGCAGAGTCAGGGATGCATTGGAGCTGGGTCATTCATCTGCAGTGAATCATTTATCGATACGACTTTAGACCGTTTTCCCACTCCGCAGACAGACTTGGATGCTGATTGCAAATTTGCTCATTACTGGAAACAGGTCGACAAACGCTCGGTGAAAACGAGCTTCCGCCAGCGAGATGTTGGCAGACCACTCGCTCCGGGAGCTTGGCATTAAGCGGGGCATCAGGTTGCGGACCTGAGTCGTTGGTATCGCCTCGGCTTTCCAGCTGGAGTGTTGAAATTGGTTCCGAGCGGGGACGAGGGAAGAGATTTGAGGAGGTGCCCCTGGGAATGCTTCCTGCATGGAGCACACATTTGCACGCGTGTGAGCGAGCCGTGAGCTTCCCAGGAACGTTCTTGCAGACAAAGGAACACGAAAGCTTTTGGGCATGTTGGCGGTAATCACACCTAATGCCCTCAAGGTCAATCTGGGCGCCAGATCTCCAGCTGGGGTGACTTGACTTGGTTCCATGGGAGTCACTGGGTCAGATCCCCGTCTTGTGTAAGTCAGCCCAGTTCCATTGACTCCAGTGGATTTATGCCTTCGGAGGGCCTGGCCCCGGGAGTGGATGAATGCTTTTTATTTGTTGAAAATGTTTGCCCGGCACTAGAGGCTCTGGGGCCAGATCCTCACCTGGTGTAAATGGGAAGCCCAGTGGCGTTATGCCAGTTGACGCCAGCTGTGGGGTGCATTGGTGCCATCACCGCCATCTTTCCGCCAGGATGTAGGACCGCGGGTTCCAGGCTGGCCAGTTGACGGGTAGGTGATAAGTGTGGGGAGGTGGCGCCATGCAACTTTGGTTTTCACCCTGTTCTCTCACGTCATCCTTAGAGGTTGAGCTCACACAGGTGTTGCCCACCGACAACGGCAGCTTCTACCCAGGCATGCTGGTCCTGAAGGGGGACATCATCCTTGCTTCTCTGTTATGTGAAAATTACCGCTGGGCAAGATTAACAGCATGTGCCCTGTGGGCTTAACTGGATGTTTCTCTGCAGAGGGGTAAATTTCACCCTAATGTGATGTCTCAAGGATTAACCAAAGATCAGGCCCCTGACTGCACATAATGGTCTCCCTCCTTCTCCCTCCCCTTGCAATTTGTGTAGCATTCGCTGTTAGAGCATTTCCCCTGCTGTGCAGCTTGAAAGGTTCCTGTGCTCGGTGTTGCCCCGGTGGCTACTCCCTGCCACACCCAGCTGCGGTTTTCGCACCTTTCCACTCCGTGCTGGTGGTTCTTGTCCCTGGCGTTAGTCCTTGTTTGGTGAGTCATCCTGAGAGGAATCGGGATCGTGGCAAAGCTTCTGGACTACAACACATGGGCCGCCTGCGTGCCCATGGAAATAACCCACCCAGGGCCAGACCCATTCTTCCCCCTCACTTCACTGACTTTGAGAGGGGCCCAATGGGAGGCAGGAGTGAAGTTGGCGCACAAATACTTTTTAACCTCTTGGTTTCTATGTGCCCACACGCCTGCACGCAGAGAGAGACCTCACGCCCTGAAGCCTTGATCAACAGGGAATACATTTTACAATCAAATTGTTATTGTCACGTCTAGCGCCGATCCAGCAAAGCACAAAAGCCCGTGTGTAACTCTGAGCGTGTTCTTTGCTGGACCAGGGGTCCCTCGCCTGTTTGCACCCGGTTCCGTTTCCAGTCTCCTCAAGTTCCTGTTCAAAGGTTCTCGTAGCGGTAGGAGGGCCGGGCCCAGAGAAGCAGATCCTGGTTAGTCACTTGTATTTTTTCCACTAGGCTGGCCAGTTCTCTTCAGGCTGTGACAATCATTTCCCCAGGGGCCGACGGAGGCCGACGCTTTCCTCTCAGTGCTCAGCCTCGGACCCTTGGCCTTCGAACACAGCAGTATCACACATGCTTCTCCCCTGGGATTGGGGTGTAGACTAGCTTCCCCTTGTGGCCCCTGGAAGAGGCACCCGACTACCCAGCATTGGGTTTGGCGCAATCCAGGATGGATGCTGGCAAAGCTTCGCCCGGAGCTGATTCCACACCCCTCAATTATTTCATTTAACCGATGGTCTTCGCCCACATGGCTGAGAACTTTGCCAAAGAATAACGTTAAGGACCCTGGGGCTTTATCTGTAATCATGGCTATGAAACAGGGCGCGGGTGGGAGGGCCGTAGTGGGAGGCCACAAGTGGCTCGCTGGCTGTGAGGTTCTCAAGGGGGTGAAGAGGAGTGTGGCGGGGTGGTGGGAGAGTGACCCAGCTGTACAAAGAGTGATGTTGGCTGCCCTTGCCAGGTGGCCATTATCCTCCCGTAGCCCCTTCCTTGGTCCCGTGCCAACCTGGCGTGGGGCCAGACTGTGTCCTCTCCTCCACGGCCGGTGGCTGCTGAGAATCAGCCAGCTTCATGTCACCTGCTGGGCAGGGATCTGGCTCCTAGGGTTCCACGGATCTGGCCTTAGTCCAGCCCTGGGAGCTCTTGCTGTTCTGGGGGCAGCCCCGTCCCCCAGTCCACGCATGGGTCATATGGGGAGTTACGCTATGGGGCAGAATTCCCCCAGGTTCCAGTTTAGCTCTGGACCCAAGTCAGGCTTAAACCAGGCACAGCCTAGCCACCTAGGGCCCGAGTCTGCTCCTGATGAGCTTTCTGCTGCTGCTGTTAATGGACTCAGGATCGGGCCCTTGATTCCTCAACCGGATCAGGGTGGGGGTGGCTTGAGGGGGAGAAAGCAGGAGCCCAGCACATTCTGAACGGGAGACTGGTGTGTGGCCCCCTCCTATAGCCCCTTCCCCCCCATCTGCCTGGCCCCTTCCCAGCCGGTGTATGTACAGGGCGGTCCCTCTGTGAGTCCACCCCCACCACCCCGCCATTCCTCCCTGCCCCCCCCCCCCCGCTGCGTGACTCGGCTGAAGTGCACTTCCCGCGCTCCTGTGCTTTTTAATTGTGACGAGCCATTTGACGTTACAGCCCCCATTGTTTGTAATACACCCGAACTAAGCCAATAAACGGTGTGACTAATCAGGTGGATGCCTCTGCCCTCTGCTTTGGGGCCAGCCCCACAGGCCCACGCGGGGAGATGGGGCGTCACCCCGGCTCCTCTGCGCAGCATCTGGATTCTTCGCCACCCTGGTCCGTGCATGGACACGTCCGATGGCTCGATCTCGGGATTTGCATCAAAGGCTGAGAGGGGCACGGATGCTGCGGTAAAGGGGGGGCCATATAAGTATTCTAGATCGAGGGGCATGTATGGGGATGGATGGATTGATAGATGGGTGTGATTGGGGGCTTTTCCCTTTCCCTGGTTCTTGTCCCGCAGACAGGAAGCAGAAGACCAGAAGTCCAAGTGCAGGCAATGTGATGTTCATTGGGGTTAGTTTCAAGCAAGCATACGCATAGCTCTGACGACAACCCAGAGCCTTTTCTCCAGGGTCCCCCCTCCTTAGCAGGCATAACTTCACCTGTAGTGCCCGCCCTCGGTCCCATCCCTTACCATTTACGGTCCTATGCCATTTTGGAGCGTCGTGAGTCTGGGGGCTTCGTGCCACCTCTTTTGGATCCCACGGGAGGGGTAAAGAGTGAGGTTGTGCTTCGGTCAGGGACAGGCCTTTCTTTGGCCCATTAGCGTTTCTTATACCTTCCCCCCGCCCCGCCCGACTGGCTGCTTGACCTTATCTTGGGAGAGGAGTTTGAGGCAGGACTGTCCTTCAAGAGTATGCTCGTATATTACCCTCCCACTCTGCCGAGGAACACTTTAGCTCTGTCTCTTATCTCTGTTCCCCTCATCTGCTTGTGGGTAGACGTAACACATCTGCCCAGTGTCCTGGTTCACACACATTAGTAAGACTATAAAAATATCAAAAGGCAAACAAGACCGAAAATTCTCTCTCCGGCAAATATAGAGGCCTGAATACTAACACGCCGAACAGGTGTGTATGGGGATGGATAGATAGATGGGTAATGTATGGGGATGGATTGATAGAGGGGTGCATATGGGGATGGATAGATAGGTGTGTATGGAGATGGATGGATGGATAGATGGGGCATGTATGGGGATGGATGGATAGATGGGGCGTGTATGGGGATGGATGGGTGGATTGATAGAGGGGTGCGTATGGGGATGTGTGGATGGATGGATAGATAGAGGGATGTCTATGGAGATAGATTCGATAAAGGGGTGTGTAAGGGGGGGGATTTCAAACCATGCCCCCTCCTTCGAATCAGGATTTTGGTGCAGGCCATTACACACCTCACCCCATCCTGAGCCACAAAGAGGATAATGACCTACTACTGCTACCAGCCAAGGGGGTAACTCTTGTAGCTCAGCTGGCAGAGGGGCATGCTGAAGCACCTGGGTTCAAATCCCGCGGGGGTGGGCGGTTCATGCCATGGATCAGACCCTTTCCCAAGCTAAAGTCCCCTCCTCAGATCATTGAGGTGGAAATGGCCTGTTGGTTCCCCTCCTCTGACTCCTGGAGGGTCTCCGCATGATGGTCTCCTGCTAAGGTCCGTGTCTGGTCTCGCATGGAGCACTGGGCCTTCCCCGGCACCTTCATGAGAGGCCTGAGCTAGCCCAGCCTGGGGATCCCCAGCCTGAGCGAGCCCTGTGATTGTGCCAAAGCCTCCAACAAGGGAGAGCCAAGGAAGTGGGCATCAGAAGGGGAAGGATAATACAGACCTTAATCTCCTGTCTGTGCAGATAACGATCTAGGCACAGGAGAAGGAGAACTGCACTGACCAGCCAGGAAGCCATTATCACTGGAGGATGTGGCTGCTGGCAGCGACAGCCGCCCCACAGCCCCATTAGCGCTGAGGGCAGTTCTGCTGGAGCGATGCTGGTATTTCCAGCTGCTTGTGCACGGTCTCTGGTTAAAAACAAAGGGAGGGGGGCAGTCTGCGCTCTTGTGAAATGGGGAGCAGAATAAACTGGGAGCTCAGGACAAAGGAGGATAAGCATCTGCAAGATCCCGCAAGCCCTTAGCATGCTCTGTGGGGAGCTTTCTTGGCAGGGTGGGGCTTGCTGGCTTGGACCCTGGGGGGTTTGTCTCGGCTGAGGCTTCGGGTAGAGGAAGGGAAGCGTTTCCCCACCACATCGCTCGCTGCTCCCTCACCTGTGCTGAGCTGTTCAACAGCCGCTGCACTCCACCCCAGAGGTGGCTGCATGTCAGAGGTTGGTGAAGTTAACCCCATCTGTTGCTTCATGAGGATGGCCATGATAGGGACTGTGAGGCTTCACTGGTATATTCTATAGCGTGACCATGACTTGAGCTCCATGGCTGGAGGGCGCTAGAAAGATGCTAAACGTGGTGACAAGTCCATGGGCTCCCAGGCTCTCACTACGCTGTGTGTCACAGTGGGGCTTGAACGTGGCTCCTTCTCTTATGAAGGCACTAGGCCCCCATCAGTTTGAGCTCAAGGAGAATCCCTAATTGCTGCTAGCAGTATAGGGTGTATGACACACACCAAGAGTTAAGTAGCCCTGATTCTGTCCAGTAGAGGGCAATGGTGCCACCTACACGCTAGCCACTTCATGACACACATTATTATCATTTCCCTTGGGTGATCTAGGCTGGGGCATCCTGTCCAGCTTCTCCTGTTCGTCCCTGCCCTTGAGGGGGTCGGGGTGAAGGAGGATGTGCCGGACTCTGGCTCTTCCTGCCCTGATGCAGAACTTTCCTGCATCCCTTTTTATCCTGATGATTTTGTTTGTTCCAGCCGGGGAGGGAGGCGGGGGGTTGTTGTCAGTGTTAAAGCCCTTCCTTTGGTCAGCAACATTCCCGTGGTCTCACTGTCAGCACCCCTCTGCCCCATTGTCTGCCCTTCCCTACAGCACCCGGGCTGGCATTTCCACTGTCAGCTCCTGGGTCTCTGCCCAGCCCTCAGCCATTGTTGCCTGCAAATCCCGGTAAAGCCCGGCTTTAGCCGACAGATGCTCCAGAACCTCAGGCCTGCCGAGTCCTGCAGCAGTGGACTGAGGGCCGCAGGGCTGTGATCCTGGAGGCACCCGACCCCCTGCCCCCCCCCCCTCCCCCCGTGGGAATCTCCAGAGATACACCCACAGCAGGTGAGTGACTACCCGGTGCAGCAGGGTGGGGCGGGGAGCTATCGCTTCTCTGAAATGTTTAAGATCCGGTGTGTCCATCCAGCTGGGCTGGGCTGGGCTGCTCCTGGGTTGCAGGGGTGGGGATGGGGGGGCGGGCAGAAGTATGTGAGTAGCTCTTCCATTTGGCTTCTGCCACCTCCTGGCCCAGGAGACCTGGCTCCTGTCTTCATTGCAGGGCGTTGCCAGAGCCCCTCTGTCCCAGCACGGGAGACGCCTCCGTCCTTGGCTAGTTCCGCCGAGCACCTGCATCGTCCGGCAAGAGCTGGAGTTCCCCAGATGCACCAGGGACTGCAGAAGGCAGCTGTCCATGGAGCCTGATCCCGCAGGGGGCTGGGCACCGAAAGGGCGCTCAGCACCCCCACAGGATTGAGCTGCGCTGTCGGGGTGGGCAGCCCGGGGAGCTCGGCCGCCTCTTTGCACAGGCTGATCCCTGCCAGCAGGAGACGCTGCCAGGACTGAACGAGGACGCCGGGCTCCTAGGAGCGCTGCTGGGAAGGGGGCTGCCCTAGCCTGGCTGGGAAGAGGGGTGTTCTGGGGAGCCCAGCTTTTAGCTGTGGTCACCCTCGCTAAGCAGGGAGGAGCCTGGAGCCAAACCCGGACCAACCCTCACCCCAAACTCTGGGGGTGTGCAACACCCCAATGCTGACTTTCCCAATGGCCCAAATCCAAACCCAGGTTTGGGAGGGGAGATTGAACCGCAAATCCAGTTTCACCTTTTGCAAATGGCCCCTTGTCTTCAGAAGCCAAACCCAATTCTGAAAACATCAGGGGGGTTCAAAGGCTAGAGCTGGCCCCTGCCCCTGTTGGAGCCTAAGAGGGCCTCTGGCTAGCCGGAAAGCAACATGGCTGGTGGCACGGGCCAGCCGTGATATCGGCGATCCCAGAGCAGTCTCCAGAGCACTGCACAAACCCCAGAGGCCTACGGGGTGGGGCACAGCGCTGCCAATCCACTGCACTTCCGCCAGGTGACCTTGGACATGCGCTGCCCCGCTCTGTGCCTCGGTTTCCCCAGTTACAGGATGGGCTAATGCAACTGCCCCTCTGCAGCACGTTGAGGCCAGGGGAAAGTGTACTGAACCAGGAGCTTATTCAGCACCCACACCCACCAGTGTCTATTCATTAGGCTCTAGCGGGAGGCCAGGCAGCTGACCGAGGGTGTCAATGAACCAAGCAGGGCTACGGCTGAATACAAATTGATGGGATGAAGCAGGTAAGAGCAGATGCAGTTTGGACTGTGCCCTGGGCTCGAAGCACGTTGGGAAGCTGGCTGGGCCCTGTCACATGATGTAACCCCACTACAGGCTGGGACCTGCTGGAAGAATACAATAAAACACGGTGGAGGGGAAGGAGAGCAGAGGAGGGGTGGTGAGGCCGGAAAAGCCCCTCCAGCGACCACGCTGTGACAGGGATGACAGACGAGGCCTCCTCATTGTTACTGAGTCTGGGTTTATCATCAGGGGAAAAAACAGCTCAAATAAACCCTGGCCTGTTTCTAGGTGCCAGGCTGCAGCCGTGATAGGAGTCCCGTGTGAACAGCCTGGGAGAGCGATTGGCTGGATTCTAGACCCGGCCTTTGCCACACTCCCTTCACTTCTATTCCCTTCTCGCCCTGGATGGCTGGCCTACCAGTGACCACCCCGGGCCCCAGAGGCCCAGCTGCTGCTCACCAGCACTTTCAGGTTCGCTTTGCAACCCCTTTCCAGAGGCCTTTGCATTCCCCGTAACTCGACAGACCCAGAGCAAAGGTCAGGGGTGCAATCTCTGGGTTTCGCTCCTCACCAGCAAGGCTGCAAACAGCCAAGGGTCCAGCACATACCTTGTACTGAGCCGGCTCGGCCTGCTGTCCGGCCCCTGACCCCAGGAGTAAAGGCCCCTCTCAGCTAGGGTCAGACGCTCCCTGGAGCTCCCTCAATCTTCCTGAAC